TTTGCCACATTTTTCACATATGCAAAATTATTTCCACATTGAGTTTAGATAGAATCGCGAAGCTTGACTTGAGTGTTGAAACTGTTTACCGAACTCTTTTTGCAGGTTCCTTTGTTCGTTGGTCACCGAGTCCGAGCTTCATGGAAGTTGGTCAAAATTTTTATCAAACAGCGGTTGGTACATATACTTTTTGATTGGTAAATACCTTTGACTTACTAATTACTATTAAAAAATTGATAACTATTTTTTTAATTTAAAAAATCTCTCTCTCATGCTACGCATTCCTCTTCTCAGTCGTAAAATGACGAGGCAAAACACAGTTTTTTAACTGAACAAAAAAATAAGCAACAAACAAACAACACCCCTTGCATTATCTACATACATAAACTAGGAGTGCAAGTTGTTCAGTCAAGTTTTTTTTTTCTTTTTTTAGCTCTGTACAAATCGATCTATCGTTTCTAGTTCAATCGACATGTTTTAGTCGGTTTTTTATGGAAGTTAAAAGTTCGACGTGTGAATTGATACCGTTGATAAAAAAGATCGAGGTGCAGCCAAAGAATGAGAAAGAAAAACATGAAGAAACAATGAGGAAAAAGGGAGAGAGATAAGAAGAAATAATAGTGGGAGAGTGGAAGGATGAAAACTTTATAAAAGAAAAAGTCAATTATAGAAGAGAGAACTAGAATGGAGAACAAAAAAGAAAGATGAGAAAAAAAAGGGAGAGAGAATGAGGGAGTTGAAAAAAAATTGAATGAGAGGGAGAGAGATCAAGTCAAATTAGGGAAAAAATTAAAAGGAATTGAGGGATTCATTGAAGTGCCCATGTAATATTTTTTTGGTCTGAAAATACTTTTTATTTTTGTTTTTTTTTTATTAAAGTAGCGAGGCATTCTACTTTTTCTAAATTTTCATATGTAACCATTTAATTCAAGTAGTTTAAAGCTTGCCACGATTTAATTCTTAGTAAAAAATGTTATAAGATTTAATAGGATTTCTTATATATCTAGTGTAGAGGTGTTCACGGGTTGGGTTGAGTCGGTTTGGAGATGTTTTTTGGACCAACCCGAAATTTCAGGTTGATTGGTGCACTTACCCGACTAAACTGAATGAATCACTCAATCCAACCCAACCCTTATTACTTCGGTTCGGTTCGGGTTGAGTGCTCGGATTACAGTGTGTGAACAAGAGAGAAATCAGAGAACAGATTTAAGAGAACATATTTTGAATGAGGGAGGGATGAGGGGGCTGCAGGGGAGTGTTGAGAAAGGGAGAAGAAATTGTTGAGGAGGCGGTGCACAGATCTAAACGGCTAAACCTAAAATATATATATATATATATATATTAACAAAAATCAATATGATTTGGGTTGAACCGAAAGTTTCTTTTTCCAACCCGAAAACCGACCCGAATCGATCTGATTGGAAATTTTTCAACTGATCTCATGGGTTGGGTTCGTCGGATTATGTCGGGTTTTTTGAACACCCATAATATAGAGTAGGGGTGCATATCAGTCGGTTGGCGTTGGTATTAGCACAAAACTCTGACAATCAAGTTATGATCTATCATAATCATATTTTCTTGTAGATCTATACAAATTGGTCAAATTTCTAATAGTTTGGTTGGTCAATATTTTAAGGATGTGAGAGGTTAAGCATGCAAATGGATTCTCGATATCAAAGAGATAAAGTTGCTATAAAAGAGAGAGAGAAAAAAAAATAAGGAAGAGACGAAGAGGGGAGAGACGTAGGAAGAAAAGAAATAAGAGTACGAGAGTCACAATGAAAGAAAAATTAAAGAAAAAAAAAGTTAATATTGCTTTACGCATTTGGAATTTGATCGATTCAGGATTTGAAGAGTTTGAAATAATTTCAAATTTTTAATTACGGTTGGAACCAAATTAATTTAAAATTATTTTTGGATGTCCACGAAAAAAGAAAAGAAAGTATAATATTATACTGTTATGTCCGTATAATTTTGCATGATATTATATAAATAAATAATAATAGTATAATGTAATATGAAATAGTAATGTCACTACATATAAAAATAAAATTATTTAATCAAATTAACTTAATAAATTAAAATTGACAAATGAAATTAAAAAAACAACTGGATAATTATATATTTTAAGAAAACTTAATTGCAAATTATTTTAAATCTAAACCAAAATAATCTAACATAGTTAAATAAACTTAAACCATAATCTTACTTTCCCTCTTTTTCATTTATTTTACTTTTTATTTTCATGCTCTTGCTTCTATTTTCTTTTTTCAAAATAATACTTAGAACTAATAAAAATGCTAAAAGAAAAGCCAAAAATAGTTTAAAAAACAAATTCAAAGAGAGATTTTAAATATTTTAAATGTATCAAACATCTCTTTACAAATTTATTTGGAACTGATTTTTTCTACACAAATTTATGTTATAAAAATTGAAATAAGTAATAAAACTATCGAAACGATACCAAGCAAAACATAAAATCAACCAGCATTTTGATTGAAAAGTGATAAAAAAAAGATGTATTTAGGTAGGCAAAAGAGAGAACGATTTTTGCCGTATACAATAATTTGCCTAGGTGGAGTGATTAAATTTTAACGTATTTGGAACGGAAAGATTTTTAATCAAACGTGATTTGAAGTACTGTTATAATTTTAAATTCTTTATTTTTCTTTGCTGATCAAATAAGAGAAATTATTATTATTATTATTTTTTTTTAAAGAGAGCGTAAAACAAGACAGAGAGAGTTGAAGGAAGAGAGGGGGTGCGAGAAAACATGGGCAGAGGGAGGTGTAGATTTGGGACTAGAGAGGATTTTCGGTGAGAGATAGAAGTATATTTTTCTCCATTAAAATAATAAATGCTCCTACCCTAACCATGCTATTAAATATTCGTTGATATTTGTATGTATCTACGAATTTGACATCAACATGAGACATAAATCAACATTTTCATAGTATTTGAAATAAAAAAATCGACAAAATATGAAAAATATCAATAAGACATCACTAATATAAACGTAATATCGATACTAATTATTTTTAACTTATTTAAAAACGTTGAAATACTTATTCCTTAATTTAAATATATCTTTTTATGAATCTTTCGTTTTTATAACATTTTCAGAAATATCAATGGACATAGACATCGATATTTTCTATTTTCAAACATTAATATTTCTATCGATATAAACATTTAAAATCTCGATTATAAGATTAAATAGTACTGAGAACACTTATTAACAAGATTTAACTAACTAATCAACCTAACTCTACTTTTCAAAAAGAAGAAAGAAATAAGAAAGAATACAACAAATTTATTTAAGCACAACTAATATCAATAATGGAGGAGAGATGCATTAAGTAAACTAAAAAAGAGAGAGAATCAAGGCATTTCACGTGATTCACGTGGATGCGTGAGTGTCCTGACTATTTTTTTTAGTACAAAATTGAAAATTAGATATTTATATATAGTACTAAGATTAAAATTTTATAAAAAACATAATTTGCATAATTATATAAGAGTAACAAAAAGTAAAAAAAAAGAAAAAGAAGAAAGGTTAAAGCGCCAGATATATATATAAATAAATATATAACATTTAATATACAAATCGTTTGTGAGTTCATCCCCGTCGGTCTTATCTATTGGGAAATTTGAATATATGACCACTCCCATAATTGATTTTGGATTTATGACCATTTTTTGAAAAAACATAATTTGTGATCTCATCTCCCCTTATATTTGACTTCTTCAAATTTTTATTTTTGAAAAAAGACGAATTTACCCTCTTAGGTTAATAAATTTACATTTATGATGCATTAAATTTCCACCTATCTATCCACCAAATTCTAAACTCGTGTTTCATATGGTTTGAACTCTAAAACAAACAAATTTTTATTTTTTAAATCATCTCAAACAAATATTGTTGTCCACGTATTTGATCATATTATCTACACACTATCTAAAATCATTATCTCCACATTTTCACTTTTGAAAAGTTAGGTACGTTACATTTTCAAAATTTTTACTTTAAATTTGTTGAAATTATTTGAAATATTTATCCATCAATATATTTTACTGGAATGAAGTTATTGGAAAAAAAAACGTGGTTCAGATCGTTGTCTCGGATCAATACTCGATTCGGGATTGAAGTTATATTGCACTGAGATTGAATAATTTTATCTTGCATTCAATCTCGGTGCAATTTGGTTCGGGACATGATCCGAGACACATCCTGGATTGATCTCGAACCAAGATTGGTCCAAGACACTTCCCGGACTAATCTCGGACCAAGATTGGTCCGGGACAGTCCGGGATGAAGCAAAATTTTTATTTTATTTTGTTTTTTTTTGTTAACTCTTTTCTTATCTCACGTAGTTTTTTTCGATTTGCTGGATTGAGTCTGTGATTGAATACGAGATTGAGTCTGTGTTGAATACGAGATTGAGTACGGGATTGAATCTGGGATTGAGTCTGGGATCGAATCTGGAAAACGATTATTCTATTTTCGATATCTGGAGTCCTACAATCTACTGTAAAACAAATTGGTTGCTTCAGATAGCGCCGAAAATGGAAACCTAACACTAAGTAACGAAAATTTTTGAAGATTCGAGCCAATAACCTCACTCCCTCAGAGATCCAAGACAACGATGATGTTGGTTGGTGATGGTGGATGCAAAACGTTGGAACAGATGAAATAGAATGTTCACTGTGGATGGATGAGACAAAGAGTCCGAGAATGGGGAGGGAACGGAGGGAGACAAATGGTTCGAGTATATAGGTTTAGGGTTTTACTTTTGGGAATGTAGGGAGAGGAAGGGTTCGAGAATGAGAATCGGAAGATGTGGAATTTGAAATATGAGGGTAATAGAGTAATTTCACTTCTACAAATTTTAAAAGGGGTCATAAATAAGGATGGTTGGATTCACAAATTAAATTTTTTTAAAAGGGGTAATAACTCCAATTTCAATCATGGTTGGGTCATATATTCAAATTTGTGTTATGTATTTCTCAACTTCATTTATGCACCCCATAACCTCAGAAGAAGAAACGTGTTTATAAATTTTAATTTTTTTTAGAAAAAAAAAATTAAATCATTATATAATAAAGTGTTTCAAAACCTCTTCTTATGAATAGAAACTCGTATTGAGATCCGGCCAATATTTCACTCTCTCACCTTATCGCCATGGAAGAATCCAAGAACACGAGCAAAAAAGTTGTGATGTTCCCATGGCTGGCGCATGGTCATATCTCACCATTTCTAGAGCTTGCCAAGAAACTCGCTGACAATAACTTCACAATTTTTCTATGTTCTTCTCCTGTAATTCTTCAAAATGTGAAGCCAGAACTCCCCGATCATTACTCTGCTTCCATTGAACTTGTGGAGCTCAACATTCCTTCTTCGCCAGAGCTTCCTCCTCAAATGCACACCACCAATGGCCTCCCTCTACGCTTAATCCCCACCCTCGCCAACGCCTTGAACATGGCCGCTCCCGATTTCTCCGCCATTCTACAGAAACTGAACCCCGATTTGCTCATCTTCGACATCTTCCAACCCTGGGCGGCGGAAATTGCTTCCTCCTTCCACATTCCTGCTATTTTGTTGTTTACTTTTGGTTATTGTACAACCGCTTTAGCGCTTCATTCTGTCCAGAGCTCCGATACGAAATTCCCCTTTCCCGAGCTCACCAAACCGTTCAATCTGAAGAAGAGAGTCAACATACCTCGCAAAGGAGGACGGATATTGAAATGCCTGCTGGATCTGGAACATTCTTCAGAAACTATTTTGGTGAACAGTTTTACAGAAATCGAGGGCGATTATATGGAGTATGTATCGGTCTTATCGAAGAAGAAGGTCCTTCCGATCGGTCCTCTGGTTCAGAAATCTTGCTCCAAGGAAGACGACGAATCGGAAATTCTCCGGTGGCTTGACAGGAAGAACCCGAAATCGACGGTCTACGTTGCGTTCGGGAGCGAGTATTACTTGGAGAAAGAAGACATCGTGGAGATTGCGCACGGCCTGGAACTCAGCGGCGTCAATTACATCTGGATCGTTCGATTTCCTAAAGGAGAGAGAATCGCCATTGAAGAAGCGCTACCGGATGGATTTCTCGAAAGAATCGGAGATAGAGGCATCGTAATTGACGAATGGGCGCCGCAGATGAAAATATTAGGGCATTCGAGCGTCGGCGCGTTTCTGTCTCACTGCGGATGAAACTCTGTTCAAGCGAGTCTGCTGCTCGGCGTGCCGATCATATCCCTGCCAATGCACCTTGATCAGCCGTGGAACGCCATGGTGGCGGAGCACGTCGGCGTCTGCGTGCCGGCGGAGAGAGACGGCGGAGGAAATATCCGGAGAGAATCGGTGGCGGTGGCCATTAAAGAAGTGGTGGTAGAGGGGAGAGGGGAGGAACTGAGAAGAAAAGCGAGAGAAATTAGCGAAATCCTGAAGAATAAAGAAACTGAAACCGTACAGTGTTTGGTGGCGGAACTTCACAGCCTCTCTGAGGCGAGGAATTGAACGCTTTGTTGCAAATCGCGTGTAAATTTCCATTTTAAATTCAATCAATTTTTACAACAGGGGTGGGATGGGAGTTTCACGGACCCTTGCACGTGATTTTTCGCATTCCACGGTATTTTTATCGAGCGAGAGAAAGAAAAGGAGAAATTTTAGTTTCAATTCTGCTCTCGTTGAGAGTCGAACTCAAGACCTCCCGCTTACTAAACGGGTGCTCTAACCAACTGAGCTACGAGAGCAAGCTTGTAGAGAACTTGTTAGATTATTATATTTAACAAAACTGACAAAATTAGTTGTTTTATTTACAAAGATGCCAATTTTTTTATTTTTTTATTTTTCGGCTCTTATTTAAACACTTCTATATAATTTTCCTTTACCCAATACAACACTGATATACTATTTTTCCGTCTATCACTAACATAACATTTTTACATCTATCAAAATTATATGGTATAGTTCTAATAGAAGCAAGTGAACATGAAATTCTATTATATTTGTATAATAATGATATAGCTCTATCAGTACATACATATGCAAATAATAATCACAAATTGAAAAATAAAATTAAATATAGTTGATGTACTATTTTTATTTTATTGATAAGGTATATCACTAATAGACATAATTGCAAATGAGCACATATATACATAGTTATTGATAAAAAAAATTAAATACTGTTGATATATCATCTTTATTCTATTGATTACATCTATTAGTAATAGATCATCTATAGAAGATGAACATACAAATAATCACTAATAGAAGTCGTATACAAATATAATTAATATACTATTTTTATTGTATTGATTTGGTATAATAAGAGTAAATAAAATGTCAACTATCACACATGGAGAGCTAAAGTTAAATACCAGTGATGTGTCATTTTTATTTCTTTGATAAAGTATATCAAGAATAGATGTTTAATATCAAAAGAAACATGCAAACAGTAAAACTGTTACTAATTACAAATAAAGATTAATTAATCAGCAAATTAAGTCATAATCCAATCAAGAAAATACAATACAATCTAACTATTGGTCGGTTATTTCTAAAAAAAAAACTATTGGTCGGTTTATTCAATAGTGGATGGCCCCACCCGAAAATTTTAACAACCCATATTTGATTTTTATTTCTATAAATGATGTGTATACTATCAATATTTAATAGGAGTTTCATTTTTTAACGCCTATCAAACTTTCACATACTTGAAAACCATTCCAAAATAACTCAAACTTTTACAAATATATTTTAATAAAACCGTAACTAAATTTTGTATAATATTTACCATTTTTAATCCACATATGTATTTATTGGTCTAAAAAAAATTAGGTTGGATCAACCTGTCAAAGGTTCTTTCGACGAGGGACAACAAAGAGATTTTAATATTTGTTATTCCCAATCATGCTTTCATGGTTGCCGTTGAGTTCGAATTCAGAACATAAGTTATTCCCAACCATGTTTTCATGGTTGCCGTTAAGTTATTCCCAATCATGTTTTAATATTTAAGTTCGAATTGAGAACATTTGGTACTAAATTGTATTTAATGAAAAATCTAAGGGCACATCCCACCGGTCCCTTCATGGACCCGCTCCTGTCCATGTGTACTTAATGTTCTTCCCCTATCAATCTCCAATCCATCTGCCACCGCCTGCCGGAAAATTTCTGGGCTTCCATGGAATTGGTGGAGCTCAATCTTCCATCTCTGCGGGAGCTTCCTCCTCATATGCACACCACCAATGGCCTTCCTCTACATTTAATTCCTCCTCATATAGTCTTCCATATTGCTCACCTATGCCTTATTTAAATTATGTAGTAGTCATTTAGGTATGAATTTTACAATTATTCGTTGAGGCACTTTTACTATCAAGGCATAAACTTCAATTTGCAAACAAAAAATGAAACACAAAAGAGAGATTTTATTCACGGGGCAACTGATCCACAAAGTTGGCTAAGTTGGTTCACACATTCTTTTATAGTCTCACTTTTTTTGGCTTTCAGAACCTCACAAATTTCTCTTGCTTTTCCATTCAAATTCTCCCCTGTTTTCCCAAACACCACCTCTTTAATTGCCTTCGCCACCCCTTCTCTCTCAACGCTTCCCTCAGCGCCTCCGACGCCCGCCGCCACCGCCACTCTCGCATGATAAGGCTGATCCAACTGTTGAAATACAACACTAACTATCTAGAAGCTTTTTGGAAGTTTCTATACATTTCTCTTATGGGTAATAATTAGTATTTCTAGATTGTTCTTGAAGATTGTAATTAATAAATATATAAAGAAAAGGATCTAGAAATATTTAGACTTCCCCTTAGATTGTAGAGAAATATTTTGGATAAGAATAGATAAAAAAAAAAAGATCTAGAATACGTAAGATTTGAGAGGAACTGTTGGGGCTCCAAAGATCTTTCTAATATATATAGGATAGATGTCCCCTTTGGGAAAGTGTGAAGAGAGTGAGTGAAGTGAGTGAAGAAAGAGAGGAAAGTTAGAGAGTGTGAGAGAGTCTTCCATTAGGAGTGTCCATATTTCTACGAGCGATTGTCTCTTTTCTATTGTGCTAATTCATTCAACACTTGGTATCAGAGCTGTGCTAATTAATTCAAGCACCAAGAGTTTTTAATTTGTTTCGATTCTCTTTCTTTTTTCTTTTTTTTTCCTCCCTTTTTGGTGCATGTTTGATTTGGAGTTCTATTTCTCTTCAAAATGTTCATGCACGAAGGATTCAATTTAAAGGAATTTGAGTGATGATTTTCATGATCTTGATTCTGATTATAATGTATCTATTTTTCATATGGAATCTTTTTGGTTTTGGTTTTCTTTTTTCAAATTTCTTGTTGGGCATGTTTGATTTGGTTCTTGGAAGTAACCATTTTTAGAAAAAGTTGAGTGATCTTTATGATCTTGATTTGTTAAATTTTTTTCTCCTATATAAGTGTCCATTTTAGAAAAACATAGTTGCCTAATCTTGATTTGCTATTTTTTCTAATAATAAGATTATATATAAATTACTCACTTTTTTTTTTTTTGTGAAATTTACTAGGTTGAGATAGAAACAATAAATCTAATTTCTTAGTTTAGTACAGTAAACCATGAACAAACTAAAAATCTTATAGAATATATATTTGATATAGTTTAGATTGAGTATGGTATTTGTTGGATATATTTGTTGGGTATGGAGTTAATATGAAATATATATTAAGTACGATGAACATATATTCTAACGTATATATTATATAATAAAAAGTATATATTATATAAAAGATTGAGGGGTATATTACTGCCATAGGTTGTTACATTAAAAGATATTATATTATATACTCTAATAGTTTAGGATGTATTACTGCTATATTCTTTATAGAAAAATTTTAAAAAAATAAATATTATATAACATTCCAGATGAGTCTATGTTTACCATATCGTAAAATGAGGAATATATTATATTGGAATTTTCAGCGGTCGAAAAACTAATTTTAGTCGAAAAACTGAAGTAGGTATCGGGAAACTAATGGGTTGCCAGAAAAAATCATATTCACGATTCACGACGATACAGTTCACCCTCTTCATGAAGAATTCTTTCATAGCTATGATCAAATCTAGGGTTTAGGATTCTATCTTAAGTCTGTGCTAATTTTTCTTTCTAAAAAACTAATATAGTTTTCTAAAATAAAATTTCCATTTGTATAACAAGTAATATTTTCATTTTAAAAAAATATGTCATAACTGATACTAAGGTAAAGGTTTAATGGTCGGGTTTCGTCGCAAAAGTGAACATAGCTCAGTGGTAATTGGCATATATCTCCAACTATGAGGTTGGGAGTTCGCCAAAGTTTATACTATTTACGAGAGTAATGTTTTGTTCGAAAATAAAGTTTATGCTCTTGTTGGTATGATTTGTTTGGACTTTAATATAAGAATTAATTATACAACATATGGCTCTAAAACTACTAACTCAAAATTGAACTATGCTCGTGTTGGTATGATTTAAATTGACACTTTAAAGGTTAATATAACTTAAAATGAATGATGTATATTTATTACTTTAACTTAGTTAAAGGTTCAATCTCTACTTAAAAAAAAAAATTATTTCAATATTGTAAACTTTTCGAAAATATTGTATGATTTTTATTTTTTAAAATAATGATTTAATGCAAGATTTTAATTAAATGACCCAACCAAAGCTAACCGAAAAAGAAAACAAATGAAAAATCCTTAATAAATGTATACGCGTTAGGTAAAGGTATATTTAGGTGCTTATTAGTGTTAGTCTTAACATTATTTAATTGGTTAAGACATATATCTCAAACTAAACGTCTTGATTATCACTCCTTTTAAGCTAAGACTAACATTAAAATTTTGAAAAATATAAAATAGAAATTCTTTTTAATAATGGCCAACCGAGAAATGGGCGTTCACAATAATTCTTTCCATAAAAGTAGTACCAAAGTATATTTGTTTTCACACAGTTCTTTTTTTTTTCTTTTTTTTTGTGCAAAGGAAAACTTTATTTTTATCTTTGCGCTTAGTTTCGTGGAAAATAAAATGTTGGACAGCAAAAAAACACAATTGATCAGCAGCATTAAGCATATACTAATTTCCATTAACAATAATTTTTTTTCTTTCTTTTAGTACTCACAACGTAAACTTTCCCATGGATATAGTTCCTTCAAATGGATGAAAAGTAGTTTTTTTTTTTTGGCATGAATTGCCTGTATCTATGTATAAAATTGGGTCATGAAAAATCTTTCCTTATGGACAAAATTGTTTTTCGGGAAATAAAGAGTTCTCACTGAAAGATGTTGAGTTTATATACTTTTAGACTATGTTTTTATTTGTCACAAGCATGAATGATGAATACACCTCGTTTGTATATGGTTTTTAATAGTCTATCAAGTACCAATTCATCTTTTATCGTCCATATGAGCTTAACTCAATGATAATTGACATCTATATTTGATTAATAACTCACAAGTTCGAATCCCTCCATCTCTCCTTGTTTTCATTTTCTTAAAAAGAAAACTCCATCTTTTATCAAAAAGGGAAAAAAAAAGTAACAATCCATACTTGACTAATCTCAACTTTTCCGTAACATTTATCATTCAATTATCTTAAACTATTTTTATAAGTTTTTTCCGATTTGATTAATTATAGTTCATATAGCATATTGTAATGGTGATCTAAGGCATATCTTAAGAGATTGGTTTCGGTTAAAATTGATTGACCATAAGTGTAGTCAAGTGGTTGGTGTTGTAGAGTTTTTCAAAAACGTCAAACTCCAATTGACGCATAAATCGAAATGTCGCTTTCAGCTCAAAATCGACGTTGACCTACAGACATGGACTCTTAGTGTGTAACTAGTTACATTAGACAAAAACTCTCTAATATGAGTTGAATGTTTTACCTAGGCTTATCTTTAATAAGTCAACATATTATTTACCCCTTTAAAGATTTAAATATCTCCCATAAAAGTATAATTTTGTGATACCAAATTGTGCTGTAATTAAAGATGTAGTCGTACATGAAATATCACGAAATAAAAATTATCTAAAAAGAAAAAGTTCTATTTAATTATTTATTTTTTTCCAATAGAGTACTTTGAAATTGAAATCCACCCAAAAGACAAGCTGACGTGGCAAATAAAAAAAAATTACAAAGTAGCGGTGGGTAGGGAAGAATGCTATCGCAAAATTGGGTTCTTTGAAATGAGATGTTGTATTTAATTATCTCCTAGATTTAACAACGTAAAATCAACATCAATTTAAGCACAACTCGTAAACGTGATTATTCTTCCTCAAGAGGTTACGAAAGTCGCTACTGTGCGTTGGCGCAGTAAAGAACTGGGCTTGTAAACGTCTAAAGCCCACAATAACGGGCAAATCAATGAATTGTTACGGCCCAAGTAACAAGAAGACCAATATGGGCCTGGGCTTGGACTGGTCAGAACTCAACACGTGTAAATCAAACAGTCAACTAAAAGAGATCTATGTTGAAATATATATTTTTTAATCTAAACGGAAATAATCAATATGTTTATTCAAAATAAAATAAAAACTTAAACCATTAACCTACTTTCCCTCGTACTTTTAATTTATTTTTCTTTTGAATTATTGTGCTCATACTTCTTTATTTAAAAAAAACTAACATAACAAATGTCATACTAAAATACAATAACATGCCCAAAGAATTACAAAACAACACTTCAACCAATATATATATACACATGAAGATAGTATAAAAAAAATGAAAGAGAAATTTTAAATGTACCAAACTATCTATCTCTTTGCAAATCCATTTTATTTGGAATTGAAATTCTTTTAATCCCTAATTAGTGTTATAACATTGAAATAAAAAGAAAATAAAACTAATCCATTTGGATTTTGATGGAATGGTGATCCTAGGTAGAAAGACAAAAGAGAAAAAAAAAAATTTGTAGCATGCTTGAAAATTTGCATAGAGAAATATTCGGAAAATAAGTATATGGGTTTAGTGGAGTGATATGAATAAATTAAAAAAAATTGGAAAATCTATTTTTTCTCTCAAAAATAGGGCAAATTTGTAACATCTTTTAATTTCAAATCCGAACTATTTAAAATGGGAAAATAACAGATAAACAAAAAAGCAAAGAAAAAAAATACAATATAAATAAACAAAAAGCATCGCCACCCATGGTCTATAAAGAAACCAGGATGTCTCTCCTCAACGTTTCAACCAAAAAACTCCCCAATGTTCTGATGTTCCGATGGTTAACGTAAATGGTATAAGAAATTTTTTTTTTTAAAAAAAATATATATA